TCTTCTTCTGTTGCACTTGTGAGTGAGGACAGAGACTGCAGGCAATATCCGCAACAGATCAAGACAATATGCTCAGCTCTTGTTTTTAACGGGATAAAATTGTAGTCAAACTGGATAGACTAATCTTTTAAGCTCTGTGCAGTTTACTTGCAGAGCTTTGAATGGGCTCCTCTTACTAGCCTTGATCATTTCAGACTTAAATAAAGCTCTTTATAGTAGCGGTCTGATTGGTGTAATCTGCAAGCTGTCAATCCCATCTCTGAGCACTCTCCCAGAGGAGCTGCCGGGCCTGTCCATCAGAGGATGTTCAAATGTGGGTGAGCATTGTTGTTCAGGTGTGAACGAGTGAGTAAGCATGTAAAGTATGTCAGGGGGGTCACTGTAATTGTACATGTGTTACACCGCCTATGATGCCCATGTAGAGCTGTGCCATGTCTGCGATATGAGGTGGCCACAGATGGGTCGAAGATCTGCTGGACTCTCTAGAGCAGCACCCAGCATCCATATGCTGACTCTAAACCCAAGCTGCTATCTGTCTGTCTGTCTGTCTGTGTCTATCTGCCCTCCTTTTTTGCATTGCTCACGTGGCTGGAATGCTTGATGGAGGCTCTGTGGTCCTCATCATCTGTCCCATGGTCTCCTGCTGGAAAGTGGACCAGTGTTTGGGAGCCATATTGGCACATAAGGAGCTCTGTTTGTTTGATTGGTCTGAAGCCCTCTTCTCTTAATCCAAAACAAAATGAACAAGCCGTGTGGTGGCTGCTGCTCCAGCCGCCAGGCCGCATGTGATAAACACATCAGATGTGAGCTGGTTGTTCACCAGAAACAGGGAGAACAATCCTGCACTTTCCGTGTCTGTCATTCACACTAAAAAAATTATGAGTAAGACTTCTCCCCCCCTTCTTTGTCAATAGCACATATTGACGTTTGGTTAATGTTTGATAGGATGTGGAAAAATGGTTTATTTTTAGGAAGATCAGAGTCTAGCACTGTTAACAGGAAGGAGTGGTTTAGGCCAAATTGCTTCAGTGCCAGCTTGTTGAATTAGTAACAACCGTGGTGGACGCCGGTGTGTAGACTTGTGAGGATGATGTGTGGGTGCTCAGGATGCCCCTCCATTTGTCTCCAACCTACTTCCCCTCTGCCATGAGCTGTGACACTGGGACCAGGGCCCCAGCTTGTTTTCACTGCGATGACAGTCAGTGCGGATCTTAACACTGTAGCTTTCTAACATGCCAGACTTTGGTGCAGCAGCAGTCACTCACATAACGGGTGAGTGGTCCAGCGGGGAAAGGAGAAAGCACCTGTTCTAACATAATATAATAAAAAACAGTGGCATTCATCAATTACAAATGCCAAACTGTATTGGTTCTGGCTTCGTCAATGGATATATTTGGGTTTGGAATGGTTGGTCTGACAAGGCAAGCAATTTGAAGAAATCCCTTTAGGACCTTGGGTTCTGGGAGCTTATAATGGGTGTGTTTTTCTATTTTATTGACTAAATTGTCAATTGAAAGAAGAGCAGACAAAATTATTAATAATGAAAATAATCAATGGTCATACCCCTTGTAAACAACCCCCACCCCCCACCACCAACCCCCTTCTTGTGCTTGGGAAAGCAGTGGAGGACAGGAAAATCGGGACAGTGAGAGTGAGTTCATCCCTCTGTAAGGATTTAGAGGACTCCCTTGTCTTTCACTTAATCAGAGACAATTGAGTCATTCAGCTCCCATTGTGGGGCTGGCCAGGCGAGGAGGGGCGCATGGTAGGGGAAGAGAATGGGGGGGGGAGGCTGAAAGGGAGAGGGGAGAAGGAGAAGCCGTCTGCTGCACAACACGGAGCAGGAGCACAACCACTGGGTGGCTCTTACAGGGTGGGGGTCTGTCAAGGGGGGCTGCTTAGTGTCTGTGTGTGTGGGAGGGGGGCAGGAAGAGAGAGACAGAGGAGAAGAGAGAGTTATCCTGGAACTCCGGAGCAATTTGTCACATTGGAATGGCTCTTGAGTTACCCGGGGGGCCCCCTCATAGCAGGAGAGTTTTCAGGTCGCAGAGTGGGGAATAGGGAGGGGTTTGGAGCAACAGAGAGGGGTCAGAGGTCATGGCCTACTCAAGCCCAGGCAGTACGTCCGTTAGCAGGGCAGACGGGTGGGTGGAGAGAGAGAAAGGAGGCCAAGAAGGGGGTGGTCGAAAAGCCCGGTGCTTGCCAGGGCTCCGTTTTCCTTGGCATGCTTGTAAAACCTGCAGGAGAGATTAGTGTGTGAGAACATTTGCAATAGCAGGGCTGAAGTGGAGCCACTTGTCAGGGCATGCGCTGCGACACCCTCCCTCTCTCTGTAGTCTTTCAATGTCTATCTACCGCATTGCCACACTCAGGGGTGTCACCTTCACACCGCTTACCCACCTACTCAGAACCTCCTCTTGCCCGACCCCTTCTCCGGCTGCAGCTGTGTTTGAATATTTGCATGTGTGAGCATGTGTGCACACGCACACGCAATGGCAGGACTTTCCCATGACTGGATTCACAATTTACCCCCCTCTCCCCTTCTCTCCAGCACTGCCCTGTCTTCTAGCCCCTCTGGCACCAATGGACACTGTCTTGAATTACCTCATAGATGACAGCAGCCCCGTCACTCTCTTCCTCCGCTTTTACTGTTACAACACCACCCCCTTCCCCTCCTCCTCTTTCCCCTTCATGGCAATTAATACCCAGTGTGGGGGGTCCATAAAAACCCACAAGACCTCAACTCAAACTTTTTACAACCTTTCCTTTTTCCACTCTCAGGACATACAAACAAGCATAAACAAACCCAGTTTTTAGCAGTAAAAGCCATCTTGGGGTCATAAATGAGTGGTAGTGGTGGAGAAAGACCAGGCAGCCAACAGTTTTTTTCCTTGCAGGGGCTGTAACCGCGGACATGGAGTCAATAACTCCCTCCAGCGTCTACCACTGGCAGGCACCCCACAGTGAACTCTTCGCTAATTACCACTGATTTAGACACAGTCTCAGGAAGGGTCGCGACACACTCACTCTCTGACCAGCTCCGACACACATACAGCACACACACTCACACGCCCTCAGACATGCATACAAACTAGCGGCCACCCTTGCTGGCTGGCAGCACAAAGAAATTGCATCTAATGTACCTGCATCACCATACAACCACCAGACAGCTACCATAACTTAGTTCCCTCTGCACTCGCCAAAGGACAATGGTTGCACTAAAGTTATAATTTCAATCAAATGTTTAAACTTTTCATCACCAAGTGTGAAAATCTGATCCTGGGCTCTGGGCCAATAATGATAGTGAGATAATTATGAAATGTAACAGGACTGCATGAGCCTCCTAGGTCTTGTGTCATTATTGCAGAGAAGCACATGATCTCAGTCACTCATGAAATATAATTTAATAGGATTCAGATAGCATCCTGAAGTGAAGCAACAAATTTCAAACATGTGGTTATCAGACTGTGGAAAGCAAAGGCACTCACAGTGTTTAGATTTCTAGATCATGTTGAAGGTTTTTGTGCAAATGGCATCATAGGCCCAGATCCAAGTCCAAGTTCAACTGTCAGTAGATTCTTAGGGGGATATCTGGTGTGTAATAGAATAGCTTAAATTAATATAGAAGTTACCCCATTGTCATTCTAATGTCTGCACCTTGGGGTTACCAAGTGAAGTTTCTGTGGCATCTAGGTTTCAAAATAGGCTTTTTACCCTCCAAAGATTGTTCATTTCGTTTCCTTGTGTCTTTGATAGAAAATTATTTTTATTTGATGTACTTGATGCCCATTTTCATTGGCTTTACAATTTTCAATGCATGCAAATCCAGGGAAATGCCATCACCTAAGTTGCTATTGAGGCTAATATTTAAATGTAATTGAAATGCGGCAAGCAGTTTTTCAAAGGTCTCTGGTTTTACACTATTTATAGCTGTTGTCCCTGATATTTAGTTACTCAGTAGTTTCCCTTCTTCACAATTTTTAGGGCTCTGACCTCAGAGCTGAAACAGCTGCTATGACCTCTTTCCCTCAAATTAGGTGGCTGTGACATTGATAAAAGGAGTCTACCAAATACTGTAGCAAGGTCACCACCGGGCAGGCAATGGCTGACAAAGCAGAGTTGGATATTTGCCATATTTTATTGTGATCAAGAGCTGCTCAGAGGTACAAGGTAGACCATTTAAGGAAGAACAGTCAACAACGCACATGTCATCAAATTAAAATGACTCCACCCAGTTTATAACATAAAGACAGATGTTTCTCATGACCCTTGTTTCTGCTTATCTGGTTTTCTGTGCCTGTGTGTGTGTAGACCTGGTGTGGTGTGCGTCGTGTGTGTCTCGTGTGGTGTCGATGGTGTGTTGTGTGTGAGAGAGAGAGAGGGAGAGAGAGGGTGGGAGAAAGAGAGGGAGACTTCTGATAGAGGCCAAGTCAATCATTTATGGGAGCAGTCAGGAGGTTTAGCCTCAGAGGAGCGTGGTTAGACGACACGCTTTAACCTTTTTATGGCTTCCAATAAAAGTGAGAACAGTCACATTTATGACATTAGGTCATCTTAAAGCCATGAGCTGTGTATAGTGCCATAACCTCTGCCCTCCTCCAACTGCAAATTAGTGACTTCATGAAATCCAAAGTTACCAGTCCACTAGCTTTTTTGTTTTAGAATTCCTGATCACTGTGAAGGAGCCAGGCTATGAAAACAAACAATTTTGTGCTGTATTTCTGGGAAAAAAAAGTCTAATTTGGTTTACACAACTACTGTGTGCACTCCTGCTGGACTCTTACATGTATGCTTGAGGCCATCCTCACCCCATCCACCATCCGCCTTAAGATCTTTGTTTGCTTTTCCATGTTTTTGAGTTTCCACATCCATACACCTGTCAAGAAATGTCGTCTCCCTTTTTTGTCTTATTTTTAATTTGTTCTTTTTGGTTTTTGCTTTCTGCATTGTTAACATGTTTTGTTTCTTTCTTTCCATTCTGTTTCCTTTCTGCCATTCAGTACCTACAGATGAAATGGCCCCTGCTAGATGTTCAACCAGGAGGTCTTCAAAGTAGACAAGCACTTAAAGATGCCAGGTCCCCGTCACCGGCACACATCGTTGTAAGTAACACTCCGCTCGGTACTTTTCCTCTTTCACCAGCTCTTCTTCCCTTATTCATGACAGAAAGACAAACAACCCCTGCTTTTCTTCACTCACCCATCCTGAAAACAACTTCAGTGTCAAAGCCCTCCCCCTTTTCCCATGAATGGATGTTTTGACTGGAAAAATGCATATTTGTTTGCATTTACCCTTAAATCACAGTCACTAACACACCCAGTCAGTTTTATGTAAACCTGTTCTCTTATACATGCAAGTTCTGACAATCAAGGTTTTGTGGATTCCAGAAAGTAGGACTTTTGTCTGTTAAAGAGTGATCAGGAGGCGAATGGGACTGGGGGGTTGCCACTGTGGCAGGTGCAGCAGTTGTTCTTTGGACAGCCATGCCGCCTGTAATCCCAGAGAAAATTATAACTCCCAGCCAATCCTTATAATGAACAGGGTGATTATGGAAAACTGGTCTCATGTCGACAACTTTTTCATGAGAATGAGCTAATGCTGGGCTGCTGACATACTGTCTTTGAGGGCAGTGTGGGCGTTCCTTCAACACTGATTACCCTATCCATGAAGTTGGAGGAGTATTCTGGCTGGAGAGTTTGCTGTACAGCAATAGGGGCATATGCAGTAGATGCACATAACAGAGCATCCACCCCAGGCATGTCAATATCTAAGAGGATAGCAGCTCTAGAATGAACAGTTGATCGTGAACTTAGTAGTTAGCTAAAGGCATAAAGTTTTCAGGAGGTCAGCGGAAAGGTTGAACATAGAGAGGTGCACGTATGTGGTCACAGGGTTAGCGAGCCAGGAAAATCAATGAGAGTGGGGATTGAGCAGAATTAGTGAGGTGATCATGAATGCCCTGGGCCATTATTGGCACAGTTGTTACTTTTGTTCTGGAGTCTCCTACATATTGTAATGAAAATGAAATTTTGAAAAGCACGTAACGATTTTAGATGGAGAAGCCTTCCGAGTTTGTATGCTCATGAATACAATATCTCCTGTGGTAACAGTTCAGTGCTAGAGCTATTAATACACTGCTGACCCTTTTTGTTTATGCACTCGGTGCAACAACACAGTTAGTAGTCGTCATGGCTCTGGAGCTCGCACAGAAGGTAGCAATGATTTTTATCGCACAAATTAGACTGTCCAGACACAGTGGCCCTCTGAGTCACATTTGACATTTGATCAGTTCAGTTACTTTTATGGTCTGTAATAAATACCATCTCGAATAGTTACTCAAAAGTTGGCGAGCCGAGTCCTCCTTGGTATTTTGCCCGTTTAAGTTAAGCACGTCTTAAAATAGCAGGAGTCGACAAGGCTGTTTATTTGAAACAGAAACCTTGTCAAAAGTTGTGTTTAAGACAAAGAGCTAGCGATGACAGTGTTATTCTGAACAAAACAAGCCCAGCTCAGGCCCTCCTTATCTTTCCCTGCGATGCTAGTGTTATTTTTATACCAAAGAGTTCAGGGGCCTCTTTTACTCTGTTATTTTAGGAGACGCTGAGAAAAGAGTCCCAACTCCTATGAAGTCATTAAACTGGTCGTAGGCAGCAAAAGCTGCAGGTAAATACTTGAGGTTTTATCCTGCTATGAGTCATATGGCTGTAAATACTTAACACCTCACATCCATCTAAACTGCTGCTGTGCAATTCACTGTTAAAGGAAGTTTGAGAACAACACTAAAGTGCAATGGTTGCAGATCCAACTTTTTAGAATGACTTATTGACACCGTAACACATTTTATATATTCTATTTATATTCTCTTGTGTAATATGTGTATTTTTAACAGATAGCTCAATGCTCAATGAGATGGGTCCTAAAATGATTTATAATTATAACAAAACACTTTTTTGTTTTATATTTGTGAAAATAAATGTGAGCATCTATTTTTCACAATGTACACAGAGAGTTGTAATACAAACAGTCAAACATGCAACACTTACAGGCTTGGAAAAGACAGGCAATACCAGCAACTCATCACAAAACAGAAATTGGCTTTGGGGCAAAAACAGACTTGAAACAACAAAGATGGACAACCAGTCAGATGGAAAAAAATAAGCTTTGCTGAAGTACAGTCATTCACAGCAACACAATATAGTGACTGTAATACAAAATACTGAGCAACAATGTGCTTTGAACATGTGTTAATCACTACAAAGACTTGCCCATGCTAAGAAAATCTCACTGAGCCTACACAAAGTATATTAGTATGTATATAGTATAGTAGGTATAGTATGATATATAGTGCCACATGAAGCTGGAGCTCAGTTTAAAGCAACACTAAATTGTGTCCAAAAAATTTAACTGTAACAGAAAATGAGAATTCATTCATGAGAACAGTAAATTTAAACATTTCCATTTACAATATGCGCATTATATTGCCTCCATGGTGAGGTTACGTTAAAAACACTATGTCATGCTATCCATCAGTGGATTTCTGTTCAGATACGCCTTGGGTCGAGGTCATAAGGACAATTAAAAATGAAGTTAAGAGACTCGTCTTTGCAGGGTAAAGAAAACAGTTGGATTTCATGATAAATAACTCAATATCTGAAACCTAAATTAGCCTTCTGTTTTCTTTCTTTCTTTGTGCTTTAGTTCTCAGCAGAAAACAGACGCAAAAGCAGAATGGAGCAGTGGGAGCACTATTAAACGAATATTGTGATTAGTACTGACACTGATCAATATCAGAGAATATATTGTAATATTTGTGCTCATATTGCCCAGCCCTAGTGTGATCTGTTTGATAGAATACACAGGCTGGTAAGATCAGAGGCATTGCAACATCGCTGCATACGCACACAACTTGCTGTAAGCACAAGTGATAAAATTGAATGTGAAATGCAGCTTGTATTGTTGCCGCTCCTACCATCCTGCTCCGGCATCCACCTCTGACTGAGAAGGAAGTGTGATTGAATGTTTCCCTGGTTTGCATCATACTGGCTGTTGTACATATAGAAAAGACAGATAACTGTGGACAGCATTGTGAATGCCAATGATAACCCCACACGGACTCCCGCTGGTGTCACTCAATCAGTCAAGCTTTTCTTTTTTTTCTTTTTTTTTTCTCCACTACAGGATGTAGGCCTGTATGTTCCAGTACGTGATCCCCTTATCAATAAATTGGGCTGTAAACGGTAGTTTCTTTTTGTTTACAAATGCGAAGAAACACTCAAGCACCTTGACCTTCTCCGCCTGGTGTGCTCGCAGGCTGCATCGGCAGTGATAAGAAGCCGTCGATTGTCCGGCTAGATAACAGCGATCTGAAGCCTGAGTGACCCTGAGACAGTTGAAACAACGATAGAAAGAGAGTAATAGATTGGAGGAAAGATACGGATGGCTGTTGATAAAGCCTGTTGGAAAGTTGCAGCTGAGATGGACAGGGACGGAGATGCAGACAGACAGTCTCATTTGTGGCTGGAAGGCTCAGCTGAGGTGGAGTGCTGGAGGATCAGCTGAAAAAAAAGAGGAAGTGACCTCACGCAGGCTGGTCTGTCTGAGGGCACGCTGTATGCCCCTGTTTACCATGCCCTCAAAGGGGGCCACGCAGGACCTTTTGAAGTGCCTGACCACCCCGCAGGCAGCCTCAAAACCTGCCGCCGCTGAACTTTTATGCCATTGGCTGAAAGTTATTCAATATTTATCCACCTATTGATGTGTATTTTTTGAGGGAGAGACTCCAAGAAACATTTTTATGCCTCACATAGCTCCTGAGGGAAAGATCACAAACAGTCCTTGCTTTGTCAACTTGCCTTTTTATTGTGATGTTTTAATTTGACATTGTGGACTGGAAGAGTCTTTGTGCATACTTGGCAGCAGGAAGTAGCTTAAAGCTGGTGGATGAATTTAGGAAGTGGTGTGTGGGTTTTTTTTTTTTTACGACTTCGCACTTCTATTATTTAGACAGTGGTTATTGCATTAACCCAGTACCACAGCATAATATACTATACCAGATTGATTTGTAAATCCACTGCTTAAAGTGTGTGTGTGTGTTAATAGCATCAACAATGGTGCAAGAAAGGACTCGGCAGGAGCCAGGCTCATGTTGGTCATGACATAATTTGGCTCATCTCATAGTCATGTGATCAAACTTTTTTCAGTCTTAAATGAAGACCAGCACCTTTAGAATTAGATTTAAAAGCATTATAAACACAAGTCATTCTTATTGAATCGTGTCTTTTAATTTGCCATGCTGGGAATTGGGGCAGAAACATGCAAATGTTAAGAGCATATGCACACAAACTTCTTTCCTGACATTCACGTGCATGCACACACATACACACTCACACGCATACACAGCCTTAGAGTCTAGAGCCTAGCCCTGCTTGAACAATGTCTCCATTGTTTTGTGAGCTTTCACTGGCAGCAGGGGACGGCTGGAGTGTTAACCATTTCCCAACTGTTCTTCACTGTGTATTATTGTGTGTGTGTGTGTCAGAGGTAGTGAAGCATGGGCCCAGGGATGAAGAGAGGGAGGGCACTTGCTCCAAGTGTATGGTAATTAGTGTGGAGGAAGTGATGGAATCTGGCCATTTTTATGGCCCGCAAGACCTCCCACCTGAGCCTTTACAACTACTGAACATGCTTATTTTATTCCCATTCAGTCTCACTTGTTTCTCTGAATAATGTGAACTGGAAAGAGGCTGTGTGAAAAGAGCTGACGTGTTTTTGATATTATAAAAAAGAAACTAGCAGAACTGTGTCTTAGCCAAGCATTCAGAACACACATGCCACAATGACTCTGTGGATCCTAACAATGGGCCAAAGGACTGGATGGGCATGCGACTGTTACTCTAGGTCCATGTCAGAATAGACAGAGCCAGGATCACATTCACCCTCCTTGACCGCTTCTCTGTCCATTTTGGAGGAATAGGGATAAAGGGGGCTTCCTGTGGTCTGAATAGGCCATGCACCTGGGCTAGCCAGACAATTGCCCAAGACTCTGGGATGCCTGGCCTCCTCAGCTATTAATGAGCGACCCCATGGTCAGCAAGCACCACCC